TTATGCAGAGGATGTCATCTATACATAATAATAATAATAAAGAGGACCCGTCACTATATAAACCGTGTATACAGATGGGGGGTGAATACTTATGCAGAGGATGACATCTACATTCAATAATAATAAAGAGGAACTGTCACTATAGACTGTGTATACAGAGGGGGAGGGGATGGTATATAGATGGAGGGGGTGAATACTTATGCAGAGGATGTCATCTATATATAATAATAAAGAGGACCTGTCACTATATACACCGTGTATACAGAGGGGGAGGGGATGGTGTATAGATGGAGTGGGGGGGTGTGAATACTTATGCAAAGGATGACATCTACATACAATAATAATAAAGAGGACCTGTCACTATAGACTGTGTATTCAGAGGGGGAGGGGATGGTATATAGATGGAGGAGGTGAATAGTTATGCAAAAGATGACATCTATATGCAATAATAATAAAGAGGACCTGTCACCGTGTATACTGAGGGGGAGGGGATGGTATATAGATGAGAGGGGGTGAATACTTATGCAAAGGATGACATCTATATACAATAATAATAAAGAGGACCTGTCACCGTGTATACAGAGGGGGAGGGGATGGTATATATATATATGAGAGGGGGTGAATACTTATGCAAAGGATGACATCTATATACAATAATAATAAAGAGGACCTGTCACCGTGTATACTGAGGGGGAGGGGATGGTATATAGATGAGAGGGGGTGAATTCCTCTCACACAGGATGACAGCTCTATGCCCGGCACTGACAGTGAAGAGAACCTGTCCCCTCACCACACACCCGGCTCAGGTTATAACGTACAGCAATAATGGACCCCGGAGGAGCCCCCAGACACATCACCCCCTCCCCCTCAATCACTCACCTCCCCGGGACCCTCCAGCCGCCATCTTATCAGCGCGCCCCCCCCCTTCTCACATCGCCCACGACGTCATCGCGCACACCGGGGGGCGGGGCGCCGTGACGTCACCCGGAAGAGGCTCCGTAGCCTGCGGTGACGTCAGAGCGGGCGGGAGGGAACGTACACAGAGGGATGGAGGAGGGGTGAGATAAGGGCAGAGGGACGGTCACTTGACCACTGACAGCCAATAACGGGGGAGTTACCCCTCACTCTAACTGCACCCGCTGGGGTACTACGGGGCGATTTGCCCTCATTATGGGGTACATAACATGACGAGAGACTCCCCCATAGATGTACATAGGATCCAATCACAATGCTGACACATCAGGATCCTTATTTACACAAAAGGTGGCTATTTTTATCGTCGCCCAATGGGATGTGAGGATTGCGGTCACATGACTGAGACTACAGCCCCCTTAGCCTGATGTTACAGCATGTGAATAATTGAGCCGCTGGAGCAGATAGCGCACGGTATTCTTGTGTAGCTCCGCCCCCACGGGCATTCCATTACCATATATGGAAGTTGAGGGGTTCATGGAAATGAATCATCTAAAATGAATAGAAATATTTATTCTGTAATAATATTATTACAGGGGGAGGGAACTGCGGGGAGCATTTCCTCAGTCTCTCCTTCCCCAGTGATCAGTCTGCTGCAGGCAGGAGGAAGATTTTCCTAAGTCTCCCCTCCCCCAGTGATTGGTCTGCTGCAGGCAGGAGGAAGCATTTCCTCAGTCTCCCCTCCCCCAATTATCAGTCTGTTGCAGGCAGGAGGAAGCATTTCCTCAGTCTCCCCTCCCACTGTGATTGGTCTGCTGCAGGCAGGTAGAAGCATTTCCTCAGTCTCCCCTCCCCCTGTGATTGGTCTGCTGCAGGTAGGTAGAAGCATTTCCTCACTCTTGTCTCCCCCAGTGATAAGTCTGTTGCAGGCTGGAGGAAGCATTTCCTCAGTCTCCCCTCCCCCAGTCTTCAGACTGCAACATTGTATCCAGTCAAAAGGTGAGAAGTGCAATGTTACATTGTTGCTCTCCATATGTATGAAGCCCCTCCCCCACATAGTGGTGCTCACAGACATGTGAGTGACAACCACTGAAATCAATGGGGGACGTGTGGAAAACACGCACGAACGTGGCGCATGCTTCCATTACACCTGAGTGTGAACAGGAGCCCAGGTTCATGCGTGGGCGTGTGCCAAAGCGCATGCTCTTACGCGCGTTCACACAATGCCTCTAAAAGCTGCGACGCGCTTGCAGTGCCATTACTTGTTGGAGGCACGCCAAAAAAAAGCAGCATGTGACTCCATCTGACACATTTCGCCAACAAGATGAGCTCAGTCACACCCCTGTTGTGAGCGAAACGCATCAGTGGCGGGGAGTCACATGTGTCTGGGTGACCTGGTCTAGTGCCAATAAAGTGTGAGCGGCCTGAACTATGACATGTCGCGTGTGGAGGGGGCGGATCCTGGACTGTATAACACATGCCCACCATCCTACAGTATGACATGGATCTCCACTTCGGTGGTCTTCAGAGAGAGGGTTGTGCCCCATGTTCTGGACTTCTCCCCCAGTAGTCAGGAAATCTCCTCCTCTTACCCTTAGGGAAGGGGGGGGGTTATAGTTGAAGATCGCCTGGCTCACTATACTTTAACTTACGCGTTTGCCTCCAGACCTCACATCATGACAAACCCCACCTCATCATCAGATGGACCCTATTCGCTCACCGACCTGAAGATCTGACCCATCGGGTTGAAGGCCTATCCCCCCAGAAATGGTTCCCGGCTCCCACACAGTTATCTCAGGTGGGAGGAGAACCAAAGCTCCACCTTCCAGGTCCTTTTTTTCTGGGGAGCAGATGGACTTTCCTGACTCCGACATGAGCTTCACTTCCAGCTCCGGCCTCGTTCCCCGGAGGCCGAGACCCTAAAGCATCAGGATCATCACATCTCTGCTCCAAGGTGAGGAGAAACGTTGACCGTCACCCAGGACAAGTCAGAAGAAGACACGCGGAGCCACCAGAGATGACATTGTTGTCTATGCTTCCTGGCTCCAGCCCAGGGCTGGGCGGCCCTCCAGCTGTTGTGGACCTACAAGTCCCATGAGGCATTGCAAGACAGTTAGAGGCGTGACTCTCAGAGGCCGGTTGGGATTCGGACGGGTGGAGCTGCTGTAGAAAGTCCATCAAAGCTGAACTACTCAGATTTTGCATGTCTCCGGCCAGTGTGATCGTCTCTAGAGACTGAAAATCAGAGGCGGAGATTCTCTATGTGGGTGGTCATTATGAATGAGAACCTGACGGCAGGAGACAACGATCGTATGGATCCATTTCTGAGGGGGGGTCTGGTTGGGGGTTGTTTGGTACCTCTGCTACATTCAAAGTTCTGTTGGCTTCCTTGGGCACTTCTGGACCTTGGAGGACGGCAAGGGCTGAACTCCCAACCTCCTAGATGAACTTGACTCGCCCTCTCCTGGACCTTGGAGGACGGCAAGGGCTGAACTCCCAACCTCCTAGATGAAGTTGACCCGCCCTCTCCTGGACCTTGGAGGACGGCAAGGGCTGAACTCCCAACCTCCTAGATGATCTTGACTCGCCCTCCCCTAGACCTTGGAGGACGGCAAGGGCTGAACTCCCAACCTCCTAGATGAAGTTGACCCGCCCTCTCCTGGACGTTGGAGGACGGCAAGGGCTGAACTCCCAACCTCCTAGATGAAGTTGACCAGCCCTCCCCTGCTGTGTAGCCTCCTGGCCCCCCAATTCCTGTGACCTTTCATATCACACAAACTCTTCATACCCTAGATCCTTGGTTCTCAACTGGTGGGTCGTGACCCAAAAGTGGGTCGCGACCTTGTTTCCAGTGGGTCGCCGCGTGCCTCCCACTTTTCTATGTGAGAGGCTCCTCTGCCTCCCCCTAGCGCAGCAATATCAGTTGTTGCGCTGAGCAACCATTCAGAATATGCTGCCTGGCGACAAGTGTCAGCTTGAGGTAGGGTGGGCTGGAGCTATGGCCGCAAGGGAGCTCCATCCATACATGCCTTGCTTACAGCTCCCTCATGTGACCTACAGGGCGCACCAGGGAGTTGTACAAGCAATGCATGTATGGATGGAGCTCCGTCACAGCAGCCCAGCACTGGACCCCAGGCTGAGGATCGCACGCACCGGAACGCACGGTACCGCAATGCCGTGCGACTTGTGTCGCCACTTAATGTCCAAGGACAAATGTGGGTCCTGAGGTTACACAGGTTGAGAATCACTGCCCTAGATAATGTCACTACTTGGTACATTCCTCTACCATGTGTCCCCCTCTCCAAACCTTCCTGACCCACTTTGCCCTGCCCCTCACCCCAATTCTACTGTTCCTTCCCAAGTGTCATGCTACTTTGACAACGTGTTTACAACCGGCCTATGTATTTCCATACCGGGATCTCTGAATGACCAGACTCGTACATCGTCTCTGCTCAGACTTTATTGCAACTTGGTAACACATTCTTTGAAAACGTGATCTTCTGCAAACCTAAAATCCAATAAATCTGCCACTTGGGGTAATTTATGTTCCCTTTTCTGTGGTGAGAAGGTCCTTCACATATCACCATACTTCATCCATTTGATGGCCCGGTTGGGGAGAGGACAGATCGTCCGGTTCCAGAATGTCCTGATTGGATCATCACTAGTTATAATGTTTGAACCCCTGTGAGGTCCGTGTTATGAGGACTCTGCCAAATGTAACTGCACACAACA